TAATTTCAACTTGTTGCGTCAATCTGTTTGCCTTGTGTTTCAATGGAGTAAAACTTACAGAGCTTTTTTGTTATGTATATGTGAGCTAGATCCATATTTTGAGAACCTATGACAATGCTTCATGCTTAAAAAGCAAGGTATGTGTTGTGATAGTATATTCCAATTGAATCCGATACCAGATACCAGATTTCTACTACTATTTGTCAAATTCTGACACTAGTCTTCTTGTGTACTTCTTATTTGTGGTTGTTAATTTATTTAATTAGTTTTACTCAATTAATTTTACAATTTTAATATATATGAAACTGAAATTATCAAGAAATTTCTTTAGAATAATGTTTATTTACAATTGCTAGAGTACATTGATTTTATTTTTACCATGTTTCTCTTACGTAAATTTACAAGTTAACATAGTATGAGATCAAAAAATTTCAAAATAAATCAAGCTTATATGCAAGTTTACATCAAAATTTATCCTTCGATAAATAATTATTCTAAATTTGAAAAAAGACATGAAATTTCAAGTTCATTTATAACACAATACACTTTTAACATAATATTTTATTAAGTAGATTGAGTGGCATAAGATAATGGGGGGGGGTTTAAATACATTTTTAATTACTATATTATGATTATTTTTTCCAGTAATCAATGAAGAAAAAATTACAAATTTTATTGTAAATTATTTTTTACATTTTTAATGACATGAAATGTAAATATAAAATAAATTATTTTTGCAATAATAAATATTACAGAGTTGTACTTACATTTATTTAACATTTTTCTCAAACTGAAAGCTTTTTATGATTTATAAAAAACACATGTATTCATTTTTTAACAACTATTTTCAACTAAATTTCTTCGATTTTCCTATATCGAAAAATTATATATATTATTAATAAATCTAACAATTGCATCTATCAAGATTCAAACTCATTATTCTTATATTCATAAATCACAACGAGTTTACTGAAATTTTAAGATATATAATTTATTGTAGATTAACATCTTATGACTATTATTATTTTGAAACATTCTACACATTTTTTTTAACTTTCACATTAATTCATCTATAATGAAAAAAAAAAATATTTAAAAGAAATATCCAAATTCATTATGATTTACAAAAAATAATAATTTTAAAGTATCATTCAAGCTCTATGAATTCATAGTCTACAAAAGTTGGATTTTTTATAAATGATCATTTCTAATGATTTCTGGAAAAAAAATCATATTGAAAGGTGTTTTATTCATTTGAAAAAAATAAAAACATTTTTTTAAGAGAATTACCTATAATTTCACAAGAATATCATGATTAAATGAACTTTTTAGTACTAAGTCAAACCTATTTCAATATTAAAAAAAATTGTCACTCAAAAGATAATAACTAACATCTTGTTACAAAATTAAAAAATTTGTCATTTGTCATTTTGCATTACATTCTCATGATTATGAATTTTCTACAGATTAAAATATGTTATAATTTATATGTTAAGGTTTCAATTGTTATATTCAAGTTGAGATTTTTGAAATGCAGTTTGATTTTTACTGTTTGATGCAACAACATTTTATTTTTATTTTATTTTTGTAAATTTTATTTATTAAATATATATCATTTCAATAAAAGACACAAAAATTATTACAAAAAGAATTTTTTACTTTCCATGTAAAACAATAAAATAAAGATCATTCTAACATGCGGAAAGTCAATTGCATTTGTGAAACTGATTCATAGACTGTCAACACAAGAATTCAAATACAAAACTTCGCTTCTTTAGATTTTCATAATATTTTTTTGAATGAGAAATATTGAAAGAGAAAAAAATTTATCTTACCAAATATTACATGTTTATTATGTTATATTTATTTTTATAACAAACATTGATATAAACAATAACCTATTTTTTCTTAATGTTAATATATTGTAACAATATAATTTGTGATTTGTCAAAATATCCAAAAAAAACTTAATTCGTTTTATCCACATAAGAAATTAAATGAAAAAATACATAGATAGTTCTTGTTTCATATAAATTTAGTTGAAAATATTTATAATGATTTTTTGTTCATTAATGATTTGTATTACAAGATTAGTGACCTATGTAAATTTTGGTAGGTGTAATCCACGTCATTATACATACCAACATAAAATGTGGATGTGATTATTATTGAAACTCAAAAAGCAAACAATTTCGTTTATATAGATTTGTGATATATGCATATCTTACATATGTAATGATATGTGTCAAATAATAAGATTTGTGTTATTATTGATATTTTTTATCGTAAAAATTTTCAATGATTGTCATCTTACTATGTGTTAATCAATTGATTACATCATTGTGATTTTGTTGAGCTTTTGATTTATTTTAATGTCGTTCTTTTGTATTATAAAAAGTGTAGTGATTTTAGTATATATGTACCCAACACACACCCACGCAGTTTTAGTGATATACACCCAAGAAATGCCATGCTATAGGTGAGCAATCGCTCTGCACCCCTACTGCGCAGTTATTTTAGGGTATAGCGTGACAATTCTTGGGTGTGTGCGGTTTAAACTGCATGGGTGTGTGTTGGGTGTATATACATTAAAATCAATATCACCTTATAAAAATACTTTATGTTATACATTGAATGAAATTACTGATAATTTTTGGTTTAAGATAGCCAAAATTTGTAATTTTTTGATATTTATAATTTATATGCTGATATGTTCGCAAAAGCTTTGATAAATCAACAAAGTTGTAAATAATATATGCATGTATCAAATTAAAATTATGTAAAACATTATATCATTTATATTTCATATACATATTATTGATAAAAAAATACAATGAATGTAAAAGATTATTTAATAGAATATATAACGTATAATGTATCATACATCTATACTCGGTATAGTATATATTGAAGTATATGTCATCACACAAGTTTTTAAAAGATTTTTGAAATAAAAATTTACACGACATATGTTATTTACTTTATAAAATAAAGTAAACAAAATGTTAAGAGTTAGCTCGTAGCTGGATTGAATATAAAATAATTAAACCATAATGATTTTAGCTTGTTATACTAACACTTGAGATGATTGAAACTCATGATGACACTTAAAAGAAATTTTGTGAGTTAAGCCGAAGTTGTAACTACATATGCATGGCTTGCAGTGGTGAGGTATACATTCGGTTGTATACTTCTGTGTGTCTCCTGCAACTGCATTCGGATGCTCGTCGTTTTTGTTTCTCTTGGTACAAAAACATGCATAAATAGAATGTGGAAACTTTATTCGGATTGAAGCAAATCCTTCAATAGTGAAATGAAATTTTTATAGGTTAAAAAAAAACCAAAAAAGTTTTTTTTATCAATTCCAACTGAAAAAACTCTATGTTATTAATTTTTGTAGTCCATGAGAATGGCATGCTTATTTTGAAAAAGACGATACAATTCAATAAGATACTAAAATTTATATTCTAGATGAAAAACATGGCAAAATTGAAAAGTATATTTGAAAGTTCAGAAAAATATGATAAAAAAATCCTTCAATAGTATTTATGACTAAGTCATCACATTCCAAACTTACAAAAACCAATCTTCAATTGATGTTGTTAATAATCAGTTGTTAACAGTTTATATGAAAATATAGTGGAGAGTATTCGATGGTATGTGGTAGATCTTATATTTGGGTAACCAGGAACAAGATGAGACGATACATGTTACATTTGAGAAAAATGTGTTAAAAACGACACGAAGAAGATGTATCACAAGAGTGAGTAGAAATTATTATTCTCTGTTTGATAATTTATCTTACCATACAAATAATAAGTTTTGTTCAGTATAAATAAAAACTAGACAAAAGAAAATCTACAACGGGGAATATTAATATAATCAAAGACTCATATATTAAATTTAGATATTTTTTCATAAATGCTAACCTAAGTCAACTATGTAATTGTATTATTCAGTAGCTGCTGGAAGAGAAAAAAACTGCTATTTGATTGAGATAATACAAGAAAAGAAGAGAATATGTTTCTCAAAAGATGACACTCAATCTTTTAAAATGAGATACAATATAGATGGTTATATTCTTTATCATACATATATGTATATATATTTATTTATATTTCTAACAGGTATAAGAAGATGAGATTTACAAACAGTAAATACTATTTTTTGTGGAATTATGTCTCGTAACTAATATTGCTGGTGTGGCAATTAATCTTATCGTACAAATCAAATAGAAATCATTTATTGAATTTTGTGTTTGACAAAATTCATTATTTTGTTCGAACTGCCTTAAAATGTTCACAATTGAATCTATGTATGTGTGTGATATAAGCAACGGCTGTTCACAACATCTAACGTAGTTTCGATTTTCAAAGTGGTAGAAAAACTGCAATACATTTCGAAACAAATCTTTTAATGCATAGTAGTATGAAGTACATTGACATCAAAATTTAAGTACATTGGCATCATTATTAATATAATATTTTATAACAAATATAGCCATTGCATATGAAAGTAAACTCAGTCTAAATATCATATTCAAGTTATTTTTTTGGATTCTTAAAAAATAAATTACATATTTTATATAGGAATAGCAAGTAATGTAGTGACATGTTTAACTATGCGTCATGTTACCAGTTTGTAACATGGGGCCCTCTTTCATGCAAGACAGCAAAAGGCATGGAGAAGCTTATACACTTTGGTTCATACGGTACTTGGTCCCGAAGTTTGCAAACGAAGAAGCGGAGGATATGGCGAAAAAAAATAAAATGCACAAGAATTTCGCAATTATCCTTCACGAGATTATACATGAAGCATGGCCAATCGTCTTCATTGAGTGAAGTGGTATCAGACATCAGCAGAGTATCATGACTCAATACATGGCTCGTTCACACAACGTCCCCTTTGGCGACGCTAGCTTTTATGATGGGCATATGCTGTCCGGAAAGCATCATAAAAGAAAAGCGACCCCGGGCGCTCGAGTTGATTTGCAGGCGCGGGCATAGCAGGAAGATGCCCAATCCACGAAATATGATCAGTTCTCAGTCGGCGCATTCACGGAAACCCACCGATCGTCCGATCGCTTGTGCAGCTTCATGCGTGTGCGGGAGGAATGTGGCGGTGGCCGGGGCCGGGCTTTGGCGACCGTCGCAATGTCCGTTCCATTCACGGTCAGGCCCCATGGCGGATTAGCCAATCACAGCGCAGAATGTAGAGACTGTCGCCAGGGACATTCGAGGCGCTGGCGGTACTTTGATTGCGGCGGCCCTTGACATAATGTCTAACAGACTGGAAGTCAGAGCTGACGACAGCCATCGTTACCGCGAGAGGACCACCCTGGGGAGTAAGACCATTGTTCCGTTGATAATTTAGAATCTGCTCTGCGCGACCCGTCGGAGCTTCGAGGGGAAAATTCTGCGCGCGACACCTCAAAGCGTCGTTCGACTGGTGCGCTTGCGAATTGCGAATTGTTCCTGTGTTCGAATACACGAGTACTGCCGAGCTGTGCGACGATCGGCGGCGGGGCCGATTGGTTCCGCTCGATGCGGCTTCTACTCAGAGCAAGTGACCAAGAGTTTTCTACGTGTGCTCGTTTGGCAAGTTCGGACAGCAGAGGCGAGTATCGTGGAGTGGAATGCCCTGCCGAGGAAATCGAGTCGGACGCCGTAATGGTGAGCTTTGACTTTTCTGCGTTTTTTGTTTCGCACTCGAGACGGAGCTGGAATCGAGAAAGTGTGCCCGGCCCAGAGCTGAAGGTGACAGTACACTCTGCAGTCAGTAGAATTTGTAACTCATATCCGTTGGAAGATCGGGATCATCCGTTGGCTAATTTGAATTTCAATTTGTTGCCGGTGTGTGGTGTGTCTCCAAGCTGGGAACTCGATAGTCGTTGAGGGCAACATAAGCTCGACCGCGGACGAAGTTGACAGCTATTGGCATCAATTGTGACGAAACAATTGTCTCCAGAGGCAGAGTGGGATGATGTAGTTCTGCCAACTTAGAGGAGCAGTGTGGTGATTGTGTGACTGATGTTCCTCCGGGAAGACTGTAATTACTTACAGAGCACTCAACTTATGCGCAGTATTATCATCTGCATACTTCCTGGTTGTCAGGCGGTTCAAATCGAAAGATGTTGTACGAGGAGTTCGTGAGTTGACTTCTCACTCGTCACAGAGGGACTTGACTGATTCCGTATGGTCTGCTATTCAGTGAGATACTGTTACAATCAAAAGTTCTCGTCCTATGAGAGGGTAGATTCCACTGAAGACTCACGCGGTCATCTGCATTTGGTCAAAAAGAATTGACTCTGAGCTGCTGAATGTTATGTCCAGTGATAGTGTTCTACAGGATTTTGTGATTTTGATTATTTTTTGTGAGGTAAATATTCCTCCAATTGGTCATCGAATATGGTTTTAATGATTCAGAAGGAGGAAGAGGTAGGAGGAAGGTAGGAGGAAGACTTGAAATTTGCAAAGCTTAAAGCCAAATTTATGCCATTCTGTACCATGCACTGCTTCATGAATTCGAACAATTTCATTCATGGCATTGGTGATTGCTTTGAATTCTTGTGTTTCTGTTAACTTGAATATCCAGTTAGTTTGGTTCCAACCAGCACATCTAGGCCTTCTGGGAAATTCTGGCCACTTGTTTGTGTGAATCCTCTATGTCTCTTAAACCATTTGCAGGTGAAATGCTCACTGACCGCTTTCTTGGCTTCTGGATTTTGTAATCTAATTCTCTGACGAAGGTACACAACGTTTAAGATCTGGACCCCTTGTTTTCGGATATTTTTGTGACACTCTCGGATTTGTTGTTGGAAAAATAACAAGCGTGAAGCAGATACGTGCTTGGGTTGGTCTTGGGGCTATTGATGGGCACTACGCTGTGGGATGGTAAAGTCTCAGTTCGGGCACATTGTAAAATACATCCCTTCCCTCTCTGGAAGAGCAGGCCCTGCTCCTCCGTAATAAGGATCACTCTTAGAATTCTTTGCTCCCTTGTTCTTCTAACATCTCATTACTGGTTCCGTTGTATAATCGCCACTTTTGTATCTCTATTTGCCCCTTCAGCCAGGTCTATTCGTGATCTATGATCTTCAATATGGGACAGTCAAATGAGTATGAGTTAGCCGGATGAAACACAATGCTTACAAATTTCAAGCCATCTTTCGTTGTGTCAGAACATATGAAGGTGTGGATACGTTAGCTCTGTGCTACCAAACGCATTTCAAGGTCGCTCTGTAACATATTTGTCAGCAGAAATTCCCAGACAGAAACTGAGACTGGTGAGTTTCCATGGACGCACGCGATCGAAGTCTTTACCTTACATCGGGCGTTCGCTACGAGAGTTTACCTTTTCATGAAATATTTGTTATGGTATCCCCTGACATATTCTTTTCTCCGCTAATCCCCCACAATCCTTCAAATTTTGCGTAGGTATACTACTACCCTCCCATTCCATCAGCTCGCGATACGACATGTTTATGGTCTGTGTGGGACTAGAGATCATTAACCCTTCTTCAACCAACCCTAAATAGCTTGTATATGTGAGTCAGTCATATACTTGAATTACGTACAGTATATGGTGCAATAAGGCTTCCTACGAAAACGCAGTAATTCTTCTGTGCTTTCAGTTCGTGAAGTGTACTGAAATATGCATCATGCCTCTTGCTTTTCGTTTATAACATGCGTTGTAGGCCTTCCTAGCGCTTTATTGGGTTGAGCTTTAAGAGCATTTCCTGAAATATGTCTGTTCATCCCTAAGTTTGCTCAAAACGTACATGAGAGTCGGAACACTAGAAAATCAGGAGGTATCAGCCGGCGAAGGGAGAGACTTTCTTTCATGATTATCATTTTGAATTTCAGTACGTTGGACTTTGAAATGTGGCTTCTGTCTTGAGATAAATAATTGCGAATGTGCTCGCCATATTTGAATTCTCGGTGCGGTGTATATGTGCAGTCAGAAAACATGTCAGCCTTATAAAAAACTTGTCTCGTATCCAGGTGGTTATTGTAAACTCTTCCAAATGACTTCTGTTTGTGGAAGAAGAAAAGACCATTCAGCAGCGTTTACAAGTTTGCAACGTAAATAAGATTGAGGAGTTTGTCTCGAGTTACTCAACAAAATGGAGGGAGAGACGCCGGAGGCTGGGGAACCGCCCTTAGCTGACGTACGCGGAATCCAATTTGGTTTAATGACCACCAGCGTGATGGTGAGTTAGAAGGATCAACTTCCAAATTCTTCTGTTTGCATGATTTTTTTTCCTTCTACATGTACGATCGAATCGGATATGGCTTTGACTATCTTTCTCTCGTGCGGTTCAGCTGAAGCTTTCAGTCTTCGATCCAAATCAGTCCTTGACGAAGGCGAAGGAGCTTGTGAGCGCTAGGCTGGGGCTTCCCACGATCTCCGGGCAGTGCACTACTTGTACTGCAACTTCTGTTGATAAATGCCAAGGTTTGTTTATATGTTTTGACTGTTTAGACGTTGTTTCAACTTTGTTGACGCTATCATTTCAACAAGCATTTGTTTGAGATATTGGATGTTGGAATCTTGCGATGCTTCGTTATGTTTAAGTTCTAAGTTCGACTAATTATTTTAATAGAAGGCTACTTATTCAATTACCTTGATCCGGTTTTTTTCCACCCATATGATTTTCCTCTACTGTACGTGTTCTCCGTTTTCTGCACAATTGTCTTGCAGTCATGGTCTTCCATGAGTTTCGGTTCTGAAGGAATTCGTGTTCTGAAAGATGGAATTATAATCTCAAAACCTACATACAGTGTCTGGTGATCTTGATTTGATACATAAATAGTTCAAACCTGCAAGTGTTCCGATACTTGTATACTTGTTTTCATACTAATCACCGTTGACGTTACTCTGTTCATATCCTCAATTCTCGCGGGCAGAGTACGAGTGAGTTACTTCTAACATTCTTCAGTGTCACACAAGTTTTGATGGATTGCCGTTAGTATATAGAGACATCACTTGATCGTCATCATCATTGATCAGACAACTTGTATATGGACGTGTTTCTTCTCCTGCAGGGCACTTCGGACACGTGTTATTGCCAACCCCAATTTTCCACCCTAATCACGTGGGAAGACTCATTCGCTTGCTCAGAAAAGTCTGTCTCAATTGCGGGAAACTCAAGAAGAAGGTAATGCCCTGGCTATTGCCCCTTCATAATGACAGTAACTTAGTATTCTTCAAAATTTTAGCTATCCAAGCTATGCGTATGCACCTTTCACGTGTATTGTTTGAGTTTGACTAGAATACAAGTAGGCAAATTTGGACGACGTTAAAGCCAGTTCACACTCATGTACTTAACTGGCTTCTGGTTAATGAATTCGCAGCCAGTTGGGAGGACAAGAACAAGTGCAAATGAGCAGACCTTGAAGAAAGGAAAGAAGAACGGAGGTCCGAAGAAAACGAAGTCCTTGAGTGAAGACCCCATTCTCAGTAATGGGACCTCAAGAAGAAAACGGAAGTTTTCATCATTCATAGATGATGTGTGTTTCTGAGTGTCAATATCTTCGTCTTTATATCTGATGTTCTTTTAGAAAGGCTTGACTGATTCTGTTGTATATATTTGCATCACGCATAGACCATGTTTCCTAAGCAGTAGGGCTTTATAAGTGATAATCTGCCTTTGTCACCTCCTGGACTCCGAATGTAGTTCTGAAGTCGCCACCATATCTTGTACTCGCAGGCATGGTCATGAAGCTATCTCAAACAATATCTGATCTCTCAAACTGCGCTGGCACCTCCGTATTCTGATTTCGAATCGTTCTATGTGGTGTAGGAGGCAGAAGCATCAGAGGTGATAGTTTTGTCCTCAGAGGACGAGGAGCTTTCGAGCAATGGAAGGAAACAGCAGAAAAGTCCTGATTCTATCGTTGAAGAAGATATCTTAGGAGGAAAAGCTTCAACGTCATCAGCGAAGCGGAGCTGGAACGGGAAACGAAAAAATCAAGCAGATACCTCGGAGACTAATTCGACGACCACCACACCAACGGTTGTGGATCTCACAGATATGCTGGTGTGCGTGAAAAAATCAAAAAAGCCGAAGGTATGTCTTTGTATCTCTACCTGTTGAATCTATGTATTATAGATTAGATGTGTTCTTTTAGTCTAATGTCTTTGTACGAAGTACTTTTTAAGACTTGCAGCTAGCATGCAAACGTTCTTAGCAATTTGTGCAATTTAAGCACTGACCCACTCCGCCCTACACAAACCTAGACATTATAGGGCGATCCCGCCCGAAATTTGTAGTTGTGGACTTGACCGAGACAGGGCAGTGCCTAGCCTGCCCCGTGTACAGCTTCCAGTATTTGTCATTGCTTCGAGTTCTATCTTTATATTTGATGACTGTTATATTTTTATGTATCAAAAAATGTTTTTCTAATCTCTGCCCGTATACCTTCCGTCTACCCTCCTTCACGTACGCCGGGCCTTTGGGAGTTTTATTATTAATATGTTCTTGCAAGTCGCATTAAGAATTTTTTCGCACATTATTAAGCGGTCTCACGACAAGTAGATGTATTGCTGCTAGGATGCTGTGTACAAAATTTAGGTGGTGTAGTTGCTTCTAGCGAAAATCTTTCCACTGTAAATGACTTTTAGATTTTTCTGATATAAACCTTACAGCACAATAGAATAGTCATGAAGACCAGTCATCTATTTTCTCCATAATGCTCTTATCAAGCAGAAAGGAAACTTCCCAGACTGGTCGGAAAGTCGTGAAGAGAGTGATATGATTTTTCTGATGTCCAGTGTATGACTGTTTGTGGTCATATTGCAGGTTTCTAAATCGAAATCAGGCGTTGAAGTTGTGGACGATGCCTTTTGCTCTTCTCCCAGAGATGACAACTTCACCTCTGACCAAATCTGTTTATACTGCTCGGTAACAAGATGTTGCTTTTCTTCAGCAAGCACTTTTTCAGAAACATATTATGTATCTTGTAAGCGCAGCCTGCCTGAGAAAGCAGTGCTTTTTATTTTTGTCTGTATATAATTATTGGAGTTTATTCGATTTTGTAGGCGACCTCTCATTCCGACCGTTTTCCAGAAGTACAATTGAAGGTGGATGTAAAAGAAGGAAATAGAGGTGATATGTTAAACTTGGCCAAGTCAATCAGGATGGAGATCAAAGACAAAGACTACAAGAATGTAGCTCCTAACTATTGGAGTTTTGTTGGAGGAAACTCTACATCAACCAATCAAAATGTTCAAAAGACGAGAAATCTGCTTCCATCAGAGGTGATAGTAGATGCTTGTCTGAAGTTTTTACAGATGATATCTTCCTAACGCCAAATGAACTTTGTTGTCCAAAAAATTCGTTTTGTGTCAGTCATGAGTCTGATCCTTTACGGTTCTTTTTAATTTGTAGGCCCTCAAGATTATACGGAAAATTCCTGTTGGCACCTTAGCTAAACTTGGAATGCAGCTGGATGTGGCACATCCTGAAGCGTTGATTGTCGAGTGCCTACCTGTTCCCCCAAACTGCTCTAGATTGCAAGAGGATCCCTTTTCAACAGGTGGAACGAATATTGGCTTCAAGATAGGCGTAAGTTTTTTTGTGAAGTACATCTTACATATTACGATGGACTTCAAGATACATGACCATTGTAAATGCATAGTGAAGCATTATGATGTGAATTCCATTTCAAGTTTGAGTTTTGAAACAGCATCTGTAAAAACTTGCTTCTATCATGCTTGCAGTTTGACAGGGCATCTCAAGCATTCACGAAGCTACTCAACAAAATCAACTCTATAAGGGCTTCAAGATATGGGAGACCAACTTTTCATGCTGCTGGCATGGAAGCCAGCGGTTTGCAGGCCTTATTTGGGCAGTATCTGAGGGAAAAAGGGGCACCGAAGGTAAAAACATGACAATCTGTTACGACTTTGCTGTGAAGACTTTAGCAGAGAGCAGACTTCACACTTTCTGGACGAGAAGATTTTATTTTCAGAGTTTCTTTTTAAGTCCTTGTAATCTTGAGCGCTCTTTTCAGCAGCTTGCTTATGCATGAACCTTTCCAATGTCTTCTGTGATACTACGTTTTGATATGTATTTTTTGGACTGCAGGCTGCACCTGGCAAGGAAAAGAAGAGAACCGATCATGTGGGCAGAGTTCAAAAAAGAGATAGCAGATGGAGTCTAGACTGGTTGAAGAGAAACGTGTTGGGGAAGCGAAGCGGATTCTCTGCTAGAAATGTCGTCACTGGTGATCCTTTCCTGACGGTTGAAGAAATTGGTGTTCCGCTCGAAGTCGCAAAATATTTAACTTATCCTGTGCGAGTAAACAGGCTAAATCAGAGCAAGTTACAGGAGTGTGTAGAGATAGGTCAAGATTTGGGTAGATCAAGAGCATGTGGAGCTGTTAGGATTGTGAAGGATGGGGAGAAAATGGAAGTTACTCCAAAATCGGCCCATCATCTGGAGATAGGTGATATTGTTCATAGACATCTTAGTGACGGGGATCTTTTGTATATTAACCGCCCTCCTTCTCTACATAAGCATTCGCTTATAGCACTAAAGACACATATTCAAGATTCCGCTACTTTTACAATCAACCCTGCTGTGTGTGCTCCACTTCATGCAGACTTTGATGGAGATTGTCTCCATGTTTTTGTTCCTCAATCTGAAGAAACTAAAGCTGAACTTCACCAACTTTTGACTGTGCCTGAGCAAATTTTACCCTCACCAGAAGGGAAAACAATCATAGGACTTTCTCAAGATAATATCTTAGCCACCCATCTAGTCACATCTTCGCCTCTATTTGTTGACAAAGAGTTGATGCATCAGCTAGCCATGTGGAGTTCGTGGAAACTCCCAGTGCCTACGATTGTGAAAGCTCCCAGAGGCGGTGGTCCTTTGTGGACTGGTAAACAAATTATAGATCTGACTATTCCCGATGATTTCTCTTACCGCAATCATGAGGGGTCCACAGTAATCCAGGATGGGGAGCTTTTGTCTTACGGTGGGACGGCAAATTGGCTGGCAAGTACCAGTGGATTGGTTAGCACTCTTGCTCGACATGATCCAGCAACTGCTGTCAAGCATTTGGATTGTTCTCAATCAGTTTTACGAGAATGGCTGCTGTCACACGGATTTAGTGTGAGTCTGAAGGATTTCTACGCTGCACCACATCGAGATGGTAGGAAAGAGATCAAAGAAGAGATTCTGGGCGATCTTGAAGAGGCTCAATGCATGGCCACTAATAAGCAGTTTATTTTTGATAGGAATCATCAGAAGCTTAAAGCCTCGCGATCCGGCAGGAATGGGACTTCTAGAACAACAAGAGGTAACCGACTTCAAGATTTGGAAGTATCTGGTGCAGCAGATGCCACTTGCAGAGCTTCAAGAATGAGGACAGATGGACAAAAGCTCGAAGGTGTGGCTGTGACTTACTTCCTGGACAAATTCAGTCAGCTCGGAGATCAAATAGGAGAAAAAATCGATTGTGACAATAGTCTGCTTGCGATGGTGCGGGCAGGAAGCAAAGGCTCCATGGCCAAAGCGTTCCAACAAATTGGATGTCTTGGTCTACAGCTTTACAAGGGAGAACATCTGTTAGCTCTTGAAGACAATAATAAGCTTTGCACCGTTGCTGGGGCAGTGGGCTATCTCGAGAGATGGGAAGGACGAGGCCTTGTCAGAAGTTCCTTGCTGGATGGATTGGAACCTTTGGAATTTTTCCTGCATGCAATAGCAGTTAGAGCTGGACTTCTAAGGCAGAGTTTGGAGGTCACGGAACCAGGTGAACTTTTCAAAAGGTTAATGCTTTTCTTACGCGACATCCACATTTCTTATGATGGAACTGTGAGGAATAAATGTGGACTTGAAATCATTCAGTTCCTTTATGACGGAGTGAAACCACCAGAATTTAGTGACAACGTGTCCATCAACTTTAAAGAATCCGTAATGCCTGGGGAAGCAGTAGGCATATTGGCAGCCACAGCCATAGCACAGCCGGCCTATCAGGTCATGTTGGAAGCCAATCACAATATTGGGTCGAAAAAGATCCGGCCTCTGGAGCTTTTGCAGGTTTGGACATAATCCCAGTATTTACTTTTTCTTCTGTTCTGGTCTAAGCTTGATAAGTGAAGGTTTGAATAAGTAAATGAGGTACCTGGCGCGTCTTTGGAAGTCTGTTGGCTGCAGTATTTTCTTGAACGTCTCTTCTTCCAGGGCTGCCTTCTACGCCCTATAGAGTTTTCATATTAGTTGCTTCTCCTTCGTCTGTTCGTTCTTTCATAGATCTCTTTCTTAGAAGTATGTGTCGTATGACTTGTATCACGGGTTGTGGTGGTATAGTATGATGCCGACAGATTTGTTCCTTATCTATCATAGTCGAGCCACATAGTTATTTTCATTAGTTAGATGAATGAGGTGAAGTCTGAGTGCTTTTCGGGTTTGAAACGTTATTAGTCAAGCGTAGACTCAATCATCTTTCAGTTCTGGTACTACACTCAGAGATAGTCTTGATCAGAACAGATCTTCACCCTGAACGGATATACCCTGCCTTCTTGAGAGTTCTGATAGAATTTGACAGTTTCTGTCTTCTTGGAAATTCTAGTGAAGAGGGCCTTCAGTGTATGTCTTTGGTCTCAGCCGTTACCTCGTATATGATCTGGAGGGTCATCGTTTGTTATTATACTGCCCATGATTTGGAGACCGTTTCTGAGATTTTCAGTCTTTCTTTTGTTCCATAGTGGGAATGAACTCTCCCATCTTTTCATGTCTTGCTAAGTTTGTTTAATGTACATTTAGTAAGTTTGACGTAAGTTTTGAGTGACTATATTAGTAGCATCATGTTCTTTGCATTATTTGTTTACGTATGTATCCTGTTTTTCTTCAGTCTTTAATTCTTCTAGTCCATGTATCACTACTACATGGACCATGCACTGCAACCTCTACGGTAGAAGGGCAGTCTTGCATAGAACGCTGATTATGCTATATTCTTCTGTTCCTAGTATCGAACCTGATCATATATATTAGTTGTCTACATTACATTACATCAATTGGAGAATTTTCCAGTACGTGCAAGTGATCACTAGGGCTTTTCCAGGATTTGTTTAGAAAGCCAAATCATCGTAGGTTTCATGTCGTAAGTCATCTGACTCACCCTATGTAAGCTAATGCTACTTAACGAGTCTTATTTGGTGTGTCACAGGAAACTATGTTTCCGAGAAGCACTTCAAGTTTGAAAGACTCTGATCGAAGATCTATTCTTAGACTCAGTGAGTGTGATTGCGGTAAACTTTATTGCGACGAGCGGCGCATATTACAAATTCAGAGTGAATTGCAACCTATAACATTGCAAACCATGGCTATAAGCACAGCAATAGAGTAAGTTACTTTTCAGTTACTTAATTCTCCGGTATACGGTATTCAAAGGTAGAATCTGAATGTTACATTGTGTACCTGATAATTGCTTAAAGCTTCTTCGCCCATATGGATGTCGTTCTGGTTGCGCTTCATGAAGAACATGAGTCATGTTCATGACACTTATTTTTATCTATTCCATTACCAGATAACGAGTTGAAGAGTGGATTCGTTCCTTGAGCACACTTACTAATATTTGTGCATTACCGAAAAAAATAAACGCCTATTCAGGTATATCCCAGATACATCAGATGAATGGGATGCTTTCTATGTGAAAGGAGAGAGGTGTAAAATTTGCCTGCCCTGGGTGGGCCACATTCTTCTTGATAAGGTTCGCAAACTTTGCTCAAGTTTCCTGGATTTTGGAACAACTGTCTACTTTGTTGCTGCTTTCTATACTATCTAAATCATGCTGCTTCATGAATATGAGTCAGCGTGATGACTACCTATGCAATATTTGCGACTTGTTTTCCATGTGTGGTATTATATCTGGCAGATAGCCATGTTGGAAAGCGGTCTCAACACTGAGAAGATACTTGAAGTCCTGAACATGAAATTTGAAGGTTATAGAAAAGATTTGCGAAAGTATCAGCTCGGACGTCCCCTCTTTGGCTTCAGGTTTCTTTCTACAACTCTCATATGTACTAATCTTCGCGTCCTTTCGTCAAATTACGTTATTACAAGCTCGATCCGGCTCGAACAGTTGCAGTTCTTGAGAACGCGAAGGGTACATAGTAGGGAACTTCTACAAGTTTAGTAGGGCAAAAGTATAGAACTTCTACAAGCATGTTCATATGACCACCCGGCTTCCTTGGTTTCTTCTCCGTTAGTAGCAATATTGGCACTTTTAACACCAACGGACAGTGATAGATTACCCTCTTCTGTTCGTCCTCGGGGGTTGATATAGCAGGAAGCAGTCTGTGCAGTTCATCAGGTGTCATCTTATGTCTTCTTCACCACAATTCAAGATTTGTTCAGTGCTTTGCGTTCTATGTTGCAGAGAAGACTGCAGCTGCATGGATTCTGAAGATAGAGAGTTGGGACCGTGCCTACACTTCTCGCCAATGCCCAAGTCCAATGTGAAAAGAAGAAAACAGAAGGTTTCAAAGGATGATACTGTGGAGATACTAGAGATATTACAGAACTTTCTCATTCCCTTAATCCTGGACACAACAGTGAAGGGTAAGCTGAATTCATGCCAGAAATTTACAAGTACATCTCCTTCAGATATCTCACATTATTTACAAGGAATATGCACTGCACTTTGAATGAGCATATTTTACCTGAACATTTCGTTCTTGAATGGACCTTTTTCTAGTCGGTCTAACAGTATTATCTACCACTCTACCTGAGAAGCTGTACACCTTCTTTCTCCGGTTCTGATCGTTGCAATAATTGAGATTTTTCAATGGAAGGCAAAGTCTGAGCAACAGTATCGGAAAAGAGCCATGTTTCATGTTTCGTTTGTTACGAATGTCTTCAATTCTACTTCCTTGAGTGTCTTCAAGGAAACATCTTACAAGGTTGCACGTTTTAAGCAGGTGATGACCGTATTGAATCTACCAAAATCGTGTGGGAGGATGAAGCATGGTCTACACCGGGACGATCAATCCATAACGAATGTTTCTCAGAGGAGGGCTGTGGTGGAGAGCTAGTGCTAGAAGTTTTAGTGAAACAAAAGCTTAGCACGAAACGTGGTGTCCCATGGATGATCACGACCGAGGCTTGCCTTCAAATAGAGGATGCGATAGATTGGCGAAGAAGTTCGCCTTACAGTGTACAGGAGATTAAATACGCGTTCGGAGTAGAGGCAGCACGAGATTGTATTTTACAGGTACTATATACTATACTCTTATGGGGAACCAGTTATGAGCTAGACACTTTTTTGAGCTACTGAAGTTGGAGCTTTTTGTAGACTAAAACATGGGAAAACTATAATGAACTCATGCATATAATTAACTAATATTGAATACGAATATTTTATTGTCGTAATGTGCAGAGGTTTAACTTGGCCACTCAAGCTTCAGGAAACTCGATTGAAATACAACACTTGAAGCTGGTTGCTGATCTCATGGTCCACTCTGGAGAAGTTCATGGTTTAACATCATTCGGATATACAGATTTAATGCGCAGCCTGAAGACTACAGCTCCTTTCACAGCTGGTGCTTTCAGAGTAAGAAACTTTAGCTCTAACGTGGGCAGCCAAGTTCGAATTCTTGGTGTAGTGTAGAGGGTTTCTGTTATGTTGAAGTAAGCTCTCCTGATACGACCATCTTTTTCTCTCTTGAAGGGCTAATCTTGAAATTAATCGGTCAGTTGTGGAAGGTTGAGCAGAACCGTGTTGTATTTGCTGTTTGTTCCAGGCTCCTATCAAGAACTTTATGGACGCTGCAGAAAAGGGGGACGGAGAAGAATTCAATGGTGTTTTAGCATCTTGCGTTTTTGGCAAGCGAGTCCCAATAGGAACCGGAGCGGATTTCAGCCTGAAGGTGGATTCAAAGAGGAGCTGCTTAACAATAGAAAATGTTGAGAACTCAATTGACATACACGAGTGCTTGATTGATTTGGACTCCAAGATTGGGATTGAAAGGCCAGAAACACCTCCTCACTCTGAAGTAGAGGTAGGGGACGTGGCCAATGATAGCTGGTTACAGAACACCGATGGCTGGGGCTCTCATGATAAGAGCGCTGCATCTAAAGGTGGATGGGGAGGTGAAGGAGGTGGATGGGGTTCACCGGAGAAGAGTGCTGCGCCGAAAGCTATAAATTCAGGTGGATGGGGAGAAGAAGGTGGATGGGATTCTCCCGGTAAGAGTGGACCGACTAAAGAAGCTAGTACAGGTGGGTGGGGAGATAGTTACTCTACACCTGCAGACAACTCAAGAGGTGGTGACTGGGAAAGTACACCAGTACCGGAAGTTGGTGTATGGGAACTGCATGACCAAAACAAAGATGCACCCGCAACTAAAGCTTCGGATAGTAGCTGGGCGGAGAAAGATGCAGCTCCTGAACTCGAAAAATCTGCTGGATGGGCCGATGCTGGAAATGTAGAGGCTGCTGCTTGGGTTTCTGAAGATACGAGTATACAATGTTCAGGTGTTGGTAGTTGGGCTTGGGGTTCCGCTTCGAAAAGCTCGCAGCTTCTCTCCAGTCCAAAAGTTGCTGAGAGTAGATGGAATGAAGATGCCGTTGTTCAAGTCAGTCAATCCTCGTGGGGATCCTTGCCTTCTGGTAAATCAAGTGGATGGGGGGAGAGGCCATCCGAAGCTGAGAAGAGGGAAAATGTAACTCCAGCAAAAGATAAAGAATGCAGTTCACCGATAGAACTGTGTAGTGCCAAGGGCAGCTCTCAGAACAGCAGCTGGAGTGAACAGAAGGTAACAGGTACAATCGTTACAGGAGAGGGTCAATCAGGTGGAAATTGGATTGAAGATTGTCCATCTGCAACGCCAGGCACATGGTCAGTGGACCACGTCAAAAACAGGTCAGAAGCCGCGAGGGAAATTTCATGGACATGTGAGGACGACACAATCTGCCAAAACTCTCAATCAACACCGACCAATGCCAGGGAAGACCTAGATTCGTCAAAGAAAAAGGGATTGCGAGAATTTAGGCCTACGGGTGCGAACACTATACCTTTAGGAAAGGTCCGCTTGTTCACAAACTTGGCAATCGACGTTCCAGTTTCGAAAACACTAGTACCTCCTAGCGACTCCGATATACCAGGAGCGGATGGTGGGAAGGAACTCGTAGGAGACGGAGTGGTAACAGGGCCTGAGAAAGATGTTCACTTCATCTCGAAAAGCAGTGAAAGCCCAAGTGTGTTTTCTCAGCCCTCGGGGCCTCCTGGAGCAGAATCAGATAGAAATCACCGTGGACATCTACGTCAGCTGGCCGGAAATTCCGCCAACGAAGTGGAAGGTGCGACATTGTGGATGACTACAGAAGATCATGGGTGCAAGGATACCGACCCTGGCTGGTCTTCTTTGACTGTCGACTCGCAAATTACCCCTGCTGATCCCACCAGAGGACCAGTCTCTGCAGGTGGCCATAAGAATGAAGAAAAGATAGGCTGGTTGCCTCCTTGGAGAAAGGACGGCCCTGGTCATTTCATTCAAGGTCATGGGACTGAACCCCAAACTGTTGGTGGTAGGGGGGTTAGGAGAGATCTCATTTGGAAGAAACCTGAAATAAAAAGAGAGATAGATAACAGGCGGGAGTCAGAAGACTGGAAAGAGTTGGAGACTCTAGTCCGATCTGTCAAAAACATCCTGAAGAAGTAAGATTCTATTTTGAGGGAGCTTTGGATTTTTCCTTTTTGGTTTCTGTTTATCACCTTAGTTTCAAATACAGCACCGACTGAGCCAGGTTATCACTGAGAAATCCTGACGAGTACAGCTGCTTGTACACCGATATCTACTGGGGCAGCTTGTATTCTACTGTTGTAGTTATGCATGTTATTGTGTGGAAATCGTTATAACATAAGTTGCAGGCTGTCTTAGGTGCGACTATGCATTTCGACGTGATGAGATGCTTCTTTCTATTAATCAGTCGTATATTAACGGACAGATGCGAACCGGAGGAAAGACTCGTGGAGGAAGATCACAACTTATTATCAACACAAGTTCTACCAAACCATCCTAACAGTGCAGCCAAAGTTGGCTGTGGTATAGACTACTTCAAGGTGAGCAAAAGTCATCTGTTTACTTTGCTAAAGCTTTAAAAGTTGTTTGTTTTTTTCCCAGTCTTGATGGCTTAATTTTTTACAAACATGTGGAAAAGCTTGTATAGGATGAGCACACTTTGTCATGAACGGAAGCCCCCTTACTTCTCCTGGCTCATCTTGCTGATTTGTTTTTCTCGAATAGATCAATTTTATTCCAAGCCTTGACATCATGGAGTAAATTATGACGCTCGATTTGAATTCAAGATATACTGATTCTTGTCCCACAAGACAGTGTCTCAGTAATTTACGCGGGCCTCCGATCGGATGATCGAAGGCCCATGGCTGGTACGCAGCAACCTAGGGGATATAGAGTGCTACGTTCTTGCTCGGACTATCACTGCACATACAGTGGACATTATTCCCGGCTAACATCCTATATCAACATACTGCATTGACCTGACATTGTGATTATGCCGTTGCAGGTTGCTACTTACATGGATACGAAGTGTTTTTTTTTGGTGCGGAAGGATGGGACTTCAGAAGATTTTTCCTACCACAAATGTCTCCAAACGCTGGCTTCGAAGAAGAATGCATCTCTGGGTAATCTTTATAAAAATCTATACATGTCCAGACGGAAGGTTGAATCCCGCCCCTCTGTTGAGGACACATCACGACGAGGTGCTGAGACTCAAACTGTTGCTGAAGTTCAAGCAGAGAGAACAGAAAGTGCAACCGAATTTGCAACCGGAGAACTGTCACAAGGAGAGGTAGGTGGGTGCACTGAGCCCGAACCGCCATCGTTCTAGTCCGTGACGCCAAGTTATTTAGTGCTTATCTACTGCAGAGTCAAAGCTCAGGTGTGAAGATATGAGGGTGGCCAGCAGTTTGGACGGTTACCGAAGCTTCATGTTCCCTCCCAAAAGCGTTTAGGAGTTTTGTTTAAGAACATGGAACCCGATTTGGTTCTTAAAAGTAGCGAAGTAGTTGAAGCCTTACATGGGCAGATGCAAGAACCAACAGCGCTGATGCGTTTTTGTACGATAATATGTACATACTGCCCCTTCCTGTGACTGACTTATCGACTTTTCCCATTTCTTGGCATCGCAAGAGTTCCTTCAGTATTTTTGATTATCTCAAGCTAGCTCTTTGAGTCGGGAGGTAGTAAACAAAGGAAGGACCGTTAGAGGACGTGAAGAAATTTTTAGAACGGAAGGAAGGAGACGGCTTGCATGCGGGAACATAGTGGATTGATGAAGAAACGATTGATTGAGAGCGGTTAGTTTTGAAAGTTCCCGGGTTTGTCACTTCTACCTGTTCGACGAGGCATTTTCAGGTTTGGAGGTTCTTAAGGAGATTCGAATGATTACTTTTCTGCTTCCAGGTTGTCGAAGCTCAGCAATCCTGGTGAAGAGTGGGAAACAAGTTGTAACGGCCCTATTTCGGTTTTAGTTTTCACCACCGTTCTCAGGTGCTCTTGAGTTCTCGAGGATGTTTGCGACGCTGGGACGATGGAAGATGTTTTATGCAACAAATGTCCGAGTATGAATGTTCCTAATATATGTATACCTCCAGTTAATGCGTAGGACTTGTTATAGTTATCCGTCTAATTGTCGTAAATATAACAAAGCGCCAAGTTCGAGCAGAATTCGGAAGCTGGCACAGGGGAGTTTAGAATACGGAAACAAAATGTTGATAATGTTTGAGGTATCTTCGTCCTTTGACACATGAGATGGAAGGCAATGTTTGAACGAGCTTTGTCTGTCGGGCGGTCGTGATTCTTGTCCCCGCAACAGCAAAGGCATCAGAATACCTCTGTGGGTGCCGAAGGACCTGTGACGAGGCTTTTTTTTGGGGACTGTAACACTCCTTTGGATGTTTCGACTCTCGTGGAATCTTATCAAGCTCTCTTCAACTCCCTGCTGTAGTCAACAAACGCATTGTACTGTAACATCAGAGTCGAGAATGCTTTATTATATGCCGGCGGTGATCAAACTTTTGACGTAATTTTTGACTTCGAAGGAGGTGAAGTAACAGCACGTCGAGTTTCCCTAGACCTCCAAATATACCCACCATCGAAGGGAGCTTCAGTCAAGGCTGAGGGGAGGACTGAACGTCGGGAAAGAGGTTGAACTACACAGGCTTTCGCGAATATCCTTTACCAATATCTTTACTCACGTCTCGAGCACTTTAGGCGACATGAAGAAATGACGAGACACCAATCAATACTCTTGGTTTCCGCCAAGACTATTGGTGTTTAGTCATTCCTTTTCATGTCGAAGACAGTGTCTGCCTCAATCAAAGACCGTCTAGTATTGTAGTACGTGAACTAACGGGAGGTATGCGTGGAGCCGGAGTTGCAAGTTTGAGGAATGTTACAGCTGTAGTTTGCGGAACACACACCCTTTGAATTATTACGGCGCGCAAAGACGCTACACGAATACACTAGAGAAAGACATGGGATCTACACAATGATCGCGAAGTAGAGCTTGCCGTGGCAAATCATCGATCGTGTTATGATTCGCTTTTGGCGGTTCTTTGCCGTAGCAAGAACAGAAGCCTTGTTATTCAGACGACAAGCTGCGAGGTTCCCATAACCTTTACCGGGCCTCGGTCATTCATCAGATATTTGTACTAGTTGAGTATGGCATCCAAGTTGAAAGATGCCGAATAGAGTTCGCGGGCTTTTGCAACTGATGGTGTGGAGACCAGGACCTGAGTACACGAGCCGCTGTAGAAGACGTGATGTGGGAATATGGGAACAATGCGGGTAGAGGTATCATGAATCGGTCCACGAGTCGATGCCATATGCCCAAGTGCCGGCCTGATTCATTGACAAGAACAAGAGGATTAAACAACCAAAGAGGAAAGAAACATTAATGCAGGTCATGCACAAAGGAAAAGCCCATGTCTGCATGAAGTGCTGGAAGTCAAGGGAGAGGAGAGCTGGAAGTATCTTCTAGTGGAACCATGCAAGAAGTTCCGATCCATCCTCTCGGCGGCTGAATTATTTCTGGGTCCGCTGCGCATCGCACCTCTTTACTGTTTATACCACAGTGCCTGATTGGTTCCGAGGCGAAGGTTTGTGGGACCACATCCAAATGTGGCACGATTGCAAAGCTGCAGGAATTGTAAAAGAAGTTTTCGCAAAGTCTTCTTGTGGGGTTCCGCTTGCACGTATCACGTTTGACTAAAAAGGAATCGCTTGCACCCCAAGGGTAAAATTGATTGACTCTAATGCAAAGCTCTCCCGTAACTTATCGCAGTAAAACTGGCAGCTGAGACACGAAGGTATAGTCTGCCTGGTGCTCGACATTTTGCTTGTCTCTCTCCGATCTCTGAGAATTCCCTTTCTGAAGCCAGCCTGCCTGCCTCCCTGCAGGAGAGGAGAGAATAGACGGGAGGGGAAGGGAGGGAGGTGAAGCGGTTGGATTTGACGTGGTATGGAACTCTTTGACCAGTTTTGTCTCTGATTGCGGCAGTTGTCCCTTGTTAAGAATGTTGTTCCAGCAAGTCGGACTTCGCTCGGGTGTCATCTTGCTGGGATGCAAGTTGATCTCGAGCAGTAGCTTCAGAGTTCGAACGGAAAGAATCACGTCGATCAGGCTAGCCAATGCGTTGATTGTTCGAGGTCTTGAGCCGTCGAGCTGGATCTGTTTGTGATTTGTCTCCAATTCCGGAAGTACGATGGATGTATGAGCTGCAGAGGATTCGTTGTCTTGTCATGCGTGCGAGGGTAGTTTCTGAGAGGATTCCTCGGCTTGGCTTGATTGTCAGGGAACAAAACCGAAATGGGACCTGTGAAGAAAGAAGGAGTTATTGCTCTATTCGATGTGGACGGCACTCTAACGCCCCCCAGGAAGGTACATCATTGTCATCTTAAATGCTAAACAGGGCCCTGGATTTAAACATCTCTTTCTCGCTCGAGTCTCACCTTGCTATGTGGTCTCCTCCGCTCTTTACGCTGGTCTCGAAATGTGTTTCTCTACCAGTAATCAGTTCGTCATTAGATGAGTTTTCTCATACTCTGCAATGCAAATTTTATGCAATACTCTAAAGGAGTCATTGTTCTCGGAGCAAATAAACTGAGCGTTTATTTTCTCCAGTCAATGAAAGCAAGATCTGTGATCAAGACCTGGTCGGCCTTTACGACGAGATGGATGAGAAGTCTTTCGCTTCAATTCTGGATGGGATTTTTACGATAGAAAAACTTCACCCTTTAGTCCTTTCCTTTCTTCACGAACTTTTACTGAGTGCTAGCGCAAGCTCAATGACAATCGTATGTCATGTTACCAGGATGTGAGTCCTGAGATGTTCAAGTTCATGCAAGATCTCCGACAGGTACCTACTCTCTCCCATTTCAGATCTTCGAAGAAAGGATGGATCTGGTTGTAAATTGTCTGAGTGAACGTGCTGAATCTTTTTTTTTTCCGAGTATACTTTATGATCAGGTGACGTCAAGCAGTTGTGTCACGTCAAGTGACTGGGGCCCTCCTCTCGTCTCCCACTTTGCGTATACAGCTGGTTATAGTTGACATTGTTCTAAGCTGGGTGTTGTCGATTGGGTGTAGGTTGTGACAGTTGGGGTTGTGGGAGGATCGGACCTTGTAAAAATCTCCGAGCAGCTGGGCAAGAACAGTAAGGGCCCTTATTCATTCCCTTCCTTTTGAGAGCTCAATTGTGCTTTGTAATCCGCCCATCTGGAGTTTCTATTTAGTGTCCACGGGGATGATTGTTTCAAGGTAAACTACAAGGCATGACTTTTTCGTTCTTACATGAAAATTCCTTGTTGGATGTCTACATGTAAACGCCGGAAACAGTTGCTGGGTTTGGAACTTAATTTTATACACGTGCATAGAATGAGAGAGGTGGCTTTACTCTGAAAGTTTTTAAATTCTTGCAAAATGAAAGGCAAATTCTCATGACACTTTTTTTGGTTTGAATTGCGCAGCCATTTATGACTACGACTACGTGTTCTCAGAAAACGGACTGGTGGCTTATAAGAATGGAGTTCTTATTGGTAATCAGGTAGCTTCCAGTATGTGATCTGCCTGTTTATAAACTAAAGAGCTCTAGTAAACCCTTTCTTGCATTGTAGGATCTCTTGTTCGACGAGCTCCTCGATCAGCAATTTAGATCCACGATCTGCTTTTAGTTATTGAGGTTTACGTTTGTCGTAGAAAGAGTAAGGTTTCATAGCGAGCTTGTATCTTAGCCCTCTACTAGGATGCTTAATGTTCCAGTCACGATTGGATCCGTAAACTTACTGGAATCTTTGCAAATGCTGCCATCTTGAAGATATTCTTGCTAGAATAAGAGTGTTGGAAATTCCATTGCTGTCCACATTATAACCTGAATCACGTCACAACATCAAACTGCAATCATTCGGAAGCTCCTGCTAGCTCAAAAATGCACGTTGGAAATCATATCATCATGTCTTGCTAGGTCCGGAAGAGTTGTGTCTATGGACTACCTCTTTCCCTCTCATGAACTCTTAAAAACTTTGTGCACTCCTCAGATGGTCTGCAGAACTTCCCTGAATCAAAATTACTGGAGTACTTGGAGACCTAAGTTTCGAACATGAATGTAGGCTTCCTTGAACTGAATTCTGACCGCGTGCATCTAAAATTGCAGAGCTTGAAGTCTCACCTGGGTGAGGAGAAGTTGAAGGTGAGAGCAGTCAAGTTTTCAGAATTTCTGTCTAATATTGAATCTATATTATGAGAATTCAACCTTGGAGTGTGGTCATTGGAATAATAGGAAGATCAATAGCACTCCAGTCGTGCCCCTTGAAGAGATGCAGTTTGTCCCATTGGATTATGCGATGACGCTAATGCAGCAGTAGGGACGTTGCTTTTAAAGCTTGACTTTCTTCAACCCATTGTTGTGTTTCAGGAATTCATCAACTTCACGTTGCACTACATCGCCGACCTTGACATTCCTATCAAACGGTGAGATATATCTTATTCTTGGATGTGAACTAGTTGCATATGATGGTTGCCTTGGTTGAGAGATTCAAGTGAGTGATGGACATCTCCTAGGTCAGTAGCTTAGACATCTCAAGTAGACATACTGTTGATACAAATCTCTGAATTCTTGGTATGTATGGGCATGAAGCCTTCAGTCCGTAATCTGTTCGCAGTTTATGAGAGGCTGACTCGTTAACCTTTCTGATGATTGCAGTGGAACATTCATCGAATTTAGAATGGGAATGTTGAACGTGTCACCTATCGGTCGCAACTGTTCGTACGAGGAGCGTTGTGAGTTTGAGAAATACGACAAGGTCAGTTCAACCGATTACTCTTATGTTTTTGCATCCCTGTGTTCGTTTGTTTCGAAGAAATTTCACTTGAACATAGTTGCCTTCCGTGTAGAGTTATGGCTCCTGAAGAAGTTCAAAGTTGCAACTACATTTCATAATTTCATTGCTTATCCTGAAGCTTACGAAGGTCATCCACTTTGTTCAGGAGCACAACATTAGACCGAAGATGGTGGAGGTTTTGCGAGAGAAATTTGCTCATTTGAACTTGACATATTCTATAGGAGGTCAAATCAGTTTTGATGTAAGTAACTTGTACTGTCGTTCACATCGTTTTGTCAGTGAGTGTGCATTCTAGCCATGTTCGCCTGTCTCTTGTACGTGTATTGCATGCCATATATCGTTGCTGCATGCCTTCCTTTGAAACAAGCCAGTTATGGTTCAGTTCTGGATATTCAGTGTATGCTTGTCGTAGATTCCGTTTACCTCTTCAGTTGAATGCTATGCTCTGTATGCTTTTCCATGTTTCTGGCCCGCCCTTTATTGGTTGACAGGATGCAGTGCATCATATTGTGCTTTAGATTGAGCCCCAATGGCTGTACCTCCCGGGTCTGTGCTTTTCGGCCTCTCTGCGTGTTAAGCTATAGCGGTTGATCACGTCTTATACCAATTGTACCGTGCTTCATCTATGGAGGTTTTGGATTTTCTGCTTTAGGGAAGTGAAGCTTTTGACTTTCAGTAGGCGTAAACGTGGCACATGTTGAACCCATGAAAGCCTTGAATAAACCGTTAAGGCATTGTGAAAGATAAGATGGCGGCTCGGCATAGATGCTTATGTTCTCCCAGCGGTGAATAGGTTTTTGCAGTCGTAGGCAGAAACAGGATTTTAAGATGCGTGACACCTTGAAGTCGTGTTATATTGGTGCAGGTCTTCCCCCAGGGATGGGATAAGACATTCTGTTTGCAATTTGTGGAGAAGGAGTTCAGTGAAATTCACTTCTTTGGAGACAAGACATACAAGGTGTCGGATGTGCTCGTTTTATTCTTGTAATTTGCATTTGAGAAGCTTTGGCATGACATACCTTTCAGTTGCGTAATCGCAAAATTGGACTACTCTTTCACTTCTGTGCACATAATTCTGTCTACTGTTACCAATTCATTGCCATCATATCGTGGATTCCATCAGCTGCCGGAATCCACGTGTAAGGTTGTACTTTGTTTCAGTATGAATTGTCCTGACTCCATTTTCTTGTATTTAGGGCGGAAACGATCATGAGATTTTTGAGTCAGAGAAGACTATCGGACACACAGGTAAATTTTCGCCCAGAATTAAGAGTTAATCTCCTCATGTGGACATTTTGAAATGTGGAAACGTTCGAACAAGAAATCTGAATGCCCTGATTGCGTTTATGTTGTGCAGTAACGAGTCCGGAAGATACTTTCAGACAATGCACGGAGCTTTTCCTCTAAGTCGTCGAGATCGATGCACTGAATCACTATTCTTTTCCAACATATGGAATTTAGTTAGCAGACAGATCGATTTATATTTGATAATTTATTGATTCCAAGTGGAATCAGTCAAATAATATAAATGTCCCGCTCAGTGACGAATGACATTCCTATGGCAATTGTGTTCCTGGTGTATTTTTATGAGTGAATGAGTGATTCTTGATCTGCATCAACTGCTCTTACTGAAAAGACTATCGAACTATTACTCCTGGTCATTTCTTTCCCGCCCTTCCGTGGCGGAGAGAACTGCGTAGCTCCAGTTTTGAAAGGCGTGTGATAAATGGAAGAATCATATCATGAAAAGAGCGAGAAGAGCGGACAAACGAATATCAATTTGATCCAGTGCTGAAGATTATGTTCCACATGCAAACTTATCTTTAGCAATCTAAGGAATAACTATCTTACCGCAGGCCGAACTCCGTCAGACAGGCACACTCTGCACATACTCAGACAACACTGTGGAATAAATGGGAGCATAGAGAATGCTTGAGTACATACCTGAGTAAGAAGCAAAGGGAAGGGAACAGTAGATGATGTGCAGGAGACGACAAGGAATAAAAGGAACTCCATAGAAACTCGAAATATTTTCAATTAAGTTATACATAACCTGTTGGCTTTTGTCTGTTGTTCCTGACCCGGCGTTGGATGCGGTGAGTCGCTTGGTACAAGAACACCACCGGTAAATCGAAGTCAATCACTGCAGCCATTGGGAGAGAGAACTGACCAGTTACCATCGTCACATTTCCTTGGAGCTGATGGTGAACTCTCGAGAGACTACAGACTTATAATCAAAGCTCCCTGCCCAATATCCGTGGCCAACCTCGACGCGTCTGAATGAGACTTGCGTCACTCACAGTACATAGTAGTACTACATCACTACATAACGAGTAAACTTGTGGAAAGTATGTAAACATAGGATTCAGATAACATAGTTGATAGAGAAATGATCTTTAGAACTGACACCTGAAGTGGAGATGTCCCTGAATTACACGACTGGAGATTTTGAGGGTATAAAGTGATTCTGCCAGTGTCACCATCTTTTGAGCGGATGCATGTCAGGAATGAATTATGAGCAGCTCTGTTCATTTTGTCTCGTCTTTGCACTGATTGCACCAACTGCAATGATTTTGTTTGCAACCATGTGTATCGACCTTGCTCCACCGCGATGACCCATCCTCCTCCCCTCCTCTTTAATCCCAATTTACAAAACGAGGAAAAGGTATCGGTTTAGACTTTTCTCCGTTGGGTATGAAGTTGTTGTCAAACATGAAGAAGAGCGTAGGAACTGTAGTGTTAGGATTGGTTTAGATTGACTTAATGCAACTAACACAACACTGAACATAAACACCCCACGAAACTTGTTCACCAACAGGTTATATACACTAAAACTCAAATAACATGAGTCAATAATGAGTTCTACGTACTGATCTTCGAGAGGGGGCCAATCTAATATATGGCCTTTCGTCTAGCAAATGACTTAATTTTCTTAACCATGATAAAGGTAACTACGGTCAGCAAGACACGAAATACGTTATTAAATCCTCTACTACTGTATGATGTCAAGAATTCTTACAGTCTATATGTAGGTTATAAGTAAGTTGTAGAATGTCAAAATAATTAACTAGTTTTCATTTTTCGTAATAGAATGAAAACTAGAAATAAACTACTACCTAAAATCAATGAGAAATAAACTGCTGTAAACAGTAAATGTTATCCGTGTGTACATCTATCGGACGCATCTCACTGTGGTTTATCATAACATGTAATTTTTACATAGCTCAATGATGCAAAATTGAATTTTTACAGATTGACTTGAAAATCTGCAATAGAGAATCAGTTGGTTTCAGCTCTTTCAGCACTCTTGACAAGCTTACTAAGCTCATCATGAGGCAATAAATGTATAATAAATTGTTACTAGATGCTAATATCCTTAATTATGGAGTAATGCAATACAAAGCACTCCGCAATATGAACCACATTCTAGCTCTCTCTATAGGAGTTAACGATTTCGTCTGACTAACTCATCTAAGCAAGCAACTTGTTGAAGGAATTTGCTTCCAACATAGAAGATTTGTATGGTAGACTCAACAGTACAAAAATGCTAATGCATCCATTGTAATAATAGCAAGATACCAAATTGTAATATTTTTGGTCGCATACATCTCATTTATAATCTGCATGCGCATGACACAAAACGAGTAAAAAATTGATTACTTTACTTTGAACAATTGTAACCTTTAGATTCCAATCATCCAATATAGTGATTCTTACTACATATTGTAAAAAAAATTGAAATGGATTTGCTCACCTTTACATGAAATTCTAAATCCGTTTAGGTACATATCATCAAGTGAATGAAATCTTAAATCAAATGTGAGAGAGAAAATGCTAGTAATAGCTTGAGAGGAGTTGTACAATAATCAACCAATGACCATAAAGTGAACCGCGACTGACATGTGTTGTATTCTCCGTTAGAATTGCAATTTGACCCACTATCTACTTTTCAGGTTTATTCCTTCACCTGCATTACTATCGCATTTTGATAACCTTGGATGATAGAATCACTGAAGACTTTGGGGGTTTACATGACTTTGATGTTAGATCTTTGCTAATGTCATGTGAAAAGTTTAAGCTGAATACCAATGGAGAATCAACAAACGGAGTGTTTGAAGATAGTTGGACACTCTTGATATTTTTCTATCATCCTGTGGTAAATTGCAAAAATGAACATTATTGAACATTATATTAAGTATGTCGCAGAGTTCAATCTACAAATAATATAAGAGTTGAGAGATGTCTTTGACTCTAGATTCACAACAAAAGCTCAATCTCTTTTTCTTTCATGTCCAACGCACGGATCAGAGTTCTACAATTTATACTAAAGGAGCAAAATGTCAGCAGTCCATAAACACTATTCTAGTGGATCAGATGATTCCTCTCACGACGAAGGCCTGTCTAAGCTCTTGCCGGGGATATAAAATATAATTATCTACATGCAACGATGGGGCGAGATGCCAATCACAATGGCAAACATTGACGAGTCCAGGGAGGAGGATAAAGTGAACAGCATGGAAAATTCGGACAAGATGGCAAAAGGGACACACGAGGAGATGAGAAGCAAGAGCCAATGATGGCTATCGGAAGGGCAATATTTTATGGATAGAAAGGTGCGGGAGAAGAGGGAGGGCCAGGGAGGGTCAGGATGCGAGTGCATCGGACGGCGGGAGGGCGACGAGGGCAGAGGGCCACCTACGGCATATGTGGCGAGAGCCAGACGGGGGAGGCGAACCACGTCGAGAGAGAGCGCGACGCCGCGGGCGAAAGGCGAAAGGATGGACGATGGCCCGCTTATCTATCCCGACTCGCGCGTCGTCGTCGTCGTCGTCGTCGTTGGCGTCGTTGTCGTTGTCGTCGTCGGCCCTCAGGGACTGTACAAATTGCGCCATCCTCCGTCGTCGCTGGCGTGCCATGCCTGGGAAAACTGCCTCGCTTGATTCCCGTGCCGAATCTCGACGCTGAACGTCTTTCCCTCGCGTCTCGTCTTCGTCGTCCTGAGCGTCTCTGGCGGGCAGGCCTCTGGCTCTCGAGGCTGAAGGCAGAGCATGGAAGCGAGTGGTTAGGACTCAGACTTCTTCACGCGACGACGAGTCGAAGCATTCGTGCCGAGCGAGCCTGCAGTTCGGAGCCTGTGCTTTCGATTTCGGACGCCGTGCTGATTTTATCCGCTGGCGATTTTTAGTTTGAAAAATCCGAGGGAGGTGCCTCGAGAACTCGGCAGCGAGGGGAGATGGCGGGTGCTGCGCGTACTTTCCACGCGTGCTCGATTGCTTTCAACCCGGTGAAAGCCCAAATTGGTCGGGAAGAATGTAATATGAAGGTAAATTTTTTTTTTGGTTTTTTTTTGTGTGGCTACCGCTCGCTGTTTTGAGTGTAGTGCCGAGTTTAAAGTTTCTGTGTCGTACCATAACAGTGCTGATGGCGCCATTAGTCCTTGCTGCCTCAGAGAATTTCGACTTTTGTAATGGAATTTGTTTCCCGAACCTGAGTGCACGGGATTCTGTTTTCTTCCTTGCTGCTTTTGCTCCCATTTCTTTTTTCAGTTTTATTAGCGTGGAACGATCCTATGTCGGAGAGTTTGGTGGTCACATATGCGATAGTTGTAGCTCACCCTCTCTGGGTTCTTACGTATAAGGAAGGTGGCAACCTTCAGAGTTTATCTTCTGTTCGTGCCTGGGAAACCCACATGTGACGCTGAAGATTTAGATAGCTAACCTGAAACGCCCTCGCAATATTTGTAACCACGACATGCAAGCGAAATAATGTGGGTAAACTTCGTCTACTTTCCGTAGGATCAGTCCCCAAATTCTTCGAGTTTTAGGACGGGATTTGCTTTTTTTTAAAAAGTTCCATACAGATATTGTCTGCAGCAAGGAGGTTTGCAGTTACTCTCTCAGAGCAGGCCATTATTTAGTGAAGCTCGCGCGCGTTAGACAGGTAGCAGTCTAACGCGCACCTAGCTTTGCATATATAGTTTTGACTCTTGCACGAAGTTTTACCTTTCCAGCGTAAAATTACTTCCGATTTGCTTGCGGCTTTGTGTGTGACTTTTGGATACATAATCACAAGTCTATCGTACAAATTATCTTGGATTCGACCATCTGTTCTCCTGCTTTTACCATATTTTTTGAAGAGATCGGGAATTCGCTTACTGTTCTCTAAATGAGATTTCACGGAAGTCATGAAGAAAGCAGAGGGGGAGGTCAAGTTATGGCAGCTGAAGCCATGCCACGCCATGCCGTAATGTCAGTGATCTTATTTGTTGATCATGTCACCCCCAAATTACAAAATTTAGCACCGATTTGTGTATAGCAATCTTCCAGGTTGCTATGCACAAAGTTGCCAACTTTGTGCTTCGAAATGATGTTGAAAGTGGGACTTTCCAGTCCACCCCGTTTTATCCTCCGCCTTATGTCTTCATCAAAACACTTCGTCTGTCCCTCTTCCCTCTGCAGCCTTTCAGGTTCAGATCTTTCACAGTCCTATTTCATAACTTCGTTGTTCAGAGACGCGAGAATTCGTCTTTGAAGTTGTCTCGAGTCTCCTTCCTCAGAATGTATTAAAATCCTTAAATGGAAAAAGTTGCCATTCAGTCCAAATGATATTTACAGGATCCAGACGCTAGATACATCGCTGTATTTTGAGAAGACCTATGCTCTACAGAGCTAAAACATTCACGAAGGAAACGGTGGTGCTATAACTCCCGTTGGAAGATGCCGGATTGAGTTCTCAGATCAGTCAATATCGGCATATATGCACCATGAATAATGCTTACATATGTCACTCTTACCTGCTAGCAGTGCTTCTTGGTACTTCCTTTTCCGCTTCAGATTGCAGTGTATTTTTGTAGCGTCTGACTATGAATGTAAGAGAGGAAGTGAATTTGTATGTCTGGATACTGAGTTGATGATTCTTCTTGCAGCTTTTGCGGGTATCAGAACTTCCAGATGGTAGCTTACACTTTGCATTTGGAGTTGCTCAAGAGGGATCGTCTTCTGGAAGTATACCTGATGCCAATATGGATGCTCAACCTATGGTGGCTGGAAGCCAACCTCCCGCACGTTTGCCCTCAGCATTCCAAAAGAAGTCTCCCATCTCTTTATCAGTGAGGAGAGGAGAATTGCCTATAAGGACGAAGGAAGATCCGCGTATGGAACCTGAATTTCCGAAAGCAGTTCCCGTCGAAGAGGTTCCTTCGGATGACCTAAAGAAGAATGACGCTCATGTTACTGACGCAGGCGAGGAAACTACGTCACGTGTATCACAAGAGGCAGTGAGTAGCCCCCGGCAGCCAAGTCGACAGAGTCAGAAGCCCTTGAGGATGAAATCAACTTTTGTAAAGCAGTCTCCAGTCCCCGCTAGCATCGGAGCCACACATACTACCCTGAACGTCTCTTCGGAGTCGAGTGTCGCAAAGGATGGAACAAAGAGGACAACAAGCGAGATAAATGTACAGATCTCAACCTTGGAAACATCTGAATCCACTAGAGGCGATAGGGCCGTTCGCAATGGTGTCGAGGTACAGGTCGATATTTCTACGCATTCTGAAAATGTCACTCCTGAGACTGTAAGGGAACATGTGGCGGATGAGTCTCAAACCTCAGCTAAGGCCTCTCCAAATGATGTGCTTGCAGGTAGTGAAACTACCAGTGCAACCATTGCTCGGGACGTAGAGGAATTTGCACCACTAAACATCCAGGGATTGTCGGTGTTGACGGGTTTAGAAAGCCTGCCTGAGCAGCGTGAAGAGACTGGCATGGGATTTAATGCGGAGGTTATCGAAAATATCAACGCTTCTAAGGTAGCAGAATTGGAAAGCATGGAAGACGTGGAGGAGTCTCAAACCTCAGCTAAGGACTCTCCAAAGGATGATGTTGAGGGTAGTGAAACTACTAGCGCAACTATTGCTCGGGACGTAGAGGAAGTTGCAGCTCTAATCGTCGAGGGACTGCCGGTGTTGACGGGTACAGAAAGCTTGCTTGAGCAGCGTGAAGAGACTGGTATGGAATCTAAGGCGGAATTTATCGAAGATATCAACGTATCTAAGACAGGAGAATCGGAAAGCATGGCAGACTTGGAGGAGGAGTCTCAAACCTCAGCTAAGGACTCTCCAAATGATGTGGTTGAAGGTAGTGAAACTACTAGCGCGACTATTGCTCGGGACGTAGAGAAAGTTGCAGCTCTAATCGTCGAGGGACTGCCGGTGGTGACGGGTACAGAAAGCTTGCCTGAGCAGAGTGAAGAGACTGGTATGGGATCTAAGGCGGAAATTATCGAAGATATCAACGCTTCTGAGGTAGCAGAATCGGAAATCACAGCAGACGTGGAGGAGGAGTCTCAAACCTCATCTGAGTACTCTCCAAATGATGTGGTTGAAGGTAGCGAAACTACAAGCGCGACCATTGCTGGGGACGTAGAGGAAGTTGCAGCTCTAGAGGTCGAGGGACTGCCGGTGTTGATGGGTTTAGAAAGCTTGCATGAGCAGCGTGGAGAGACTGATATGGGATCTAAGGCGGATAGTATCGAAGATATCAACGCTTCTGAGGTAGCAGAATCAGAAATCACAGCAGACGTGGAGGAGGAGTCTCAAACCTCAGCTAAGGACTCTCCAAATGATGATGTTGAAGGTAGTGAAACTACTAGCGCAACTATTGCTCGGGACGTAGAGGAAGTTGCAGCTCTAATCGTCGAGGGACTGCCGGTGGTGACGGGTACGGAAAGCTTGCCTGAGCAGAGTGAAGAGACTGGTATGGTATCTAAGGCGGAAATTATCGAAGATATCAACGCTTCTGAGGTAGCAGAATCGGAAATCACAGCAGACGTGGAGGAGGAGTCTCAAACCTCATCTGAGGACTCTCCAAATGATGTGGTTGAAGGTAGCGAAACTACAAGCGCAATCATTGCTGGGGACGTAGAGGAAGATGAAGCTCTAGAGGTCGAGGGACTGCAGGTGTTGACGGGTACAGAAAGCTTGCCTGAGCAGCGTGGAGAGACTGATATGGGATCGAAGGCGGACATTATCGAAAGTATCAACGCTTCTGAGGTAGCAGAATCGAAAAGCATGGCAGACGTGGAGGAGGAGTCTCAAACCTCAGCTAAGGACTCTCCGAAGGATGTGGTTGAAGGTAGGGAAACTAACAGCGCAACCATTGCTCGGGACGTAGAGGAATTCGCAGTTCCAAACATCAAGGGATTGTCGGTGTTGACGGTTTCAGAAAGCTTGCCTGAGAAGCGTGGAAAGACTGGTCTGGGATCTAAGGCGGATAGTGCCGAAAATCTCAATGCCTATAAGCTAGCAGAATTGAAAAGCATGGCAAAGAGTAGAGGTTTGAGAGGGTATTCGAAATTAAAAAAGGGGGACTTGATTGAGCTTCTAAGTAAACTAGACTAGAGCAGAGAGACATGCGCCAACTTTGTTCTATGAGATGTTAGTTCTATTCCCCTTCTCTCAAATTGCCGAGCGGTAGAAATGGTCGGATCTAGCTCAAATAACTACATCCGATAGACGCCGAGCAGGCTTGCGTGTACCCTTCCAGCTAGAGTTTTCCCCTATCTCCTTGTCCGTTATTCTCAGGTGGACACACAAGTGTCTTGGGTCCTGAATGGTAGACAATTGTGGAGTGAAAATCCCTGTATTTAGATCTCCTATTAGCATTCATTCCTAGCACGTGAGATAGGGTCCGCATGATGCTAAGTATCGGCAACAATTTTGTGGAAATTTAGACGGGCGCTCTTCACGTGTTCTTACAGGGGTCAGTGTAAGTGAAGGAGACGAAGGTCATCCGCTTTTGGAACATGTTTCCTTTATGAATTTTGTAACGTAATTGAAATCAAGTTCATTCCAAAATGCCGATCCAATGGGTTGCTAAGCTTCTATCAATGCATGGTTGTGCGGTTGAGTGTTTTTGAGAAAGCACGATTGAACCTCAAAGGCCCTTTCCCATGTTTTCTTCCCTGCATGAAGATGCGGGATCTGCAAATGGAGATGCAGAGGATGTCGATATAGCCAAGTCCGAGTGCATTTGACCGAGAAAAAGTGAACTTTGTACTTCTACCATATGGTCGCTGGGTCTTTCCGCCTGATATAGGATGTGCATCGTAGATGACTGTCTTCGATGAGATTTCGGGTGGTGACCTGTTCAAGGTAGGTTCTCAGCCCTTGATGTATTTTCAGTGTATGAGTACCTTACTGCACCCTGCGGCTTCTAAATACCAGGAGCAGTAGATTTAGAATTCTTCAGTGATAGCCGGAGCGATTGAACGTAGAATGGAGGATGTGAACGAAGTCAGGGTCCACGCTACAGCAAACAACATGAATAGGATCTATCACGACAATGACAATGTTGATGTGGTCTAATTACTAAGTACGAAATTGCTTTGTTTGTTTTCAAAGAATACAAATAATTTGCTTCTTGACCAGAATAACAGCTGTCTCTTCTCCTCGTGATAAAGGATGGTAGAGTTCTGTACTCTGGAAATAAAAAAAAATCATCTCTCTTCTGGCATAAAAGCAAGACTTCTGGAATGAGGTGATGATAGTGGAAGGGGATGTGTATCTATGGATAGATGCACTCGAGATGTAGCTTTTCTTTCACTTTTCATTCTTGTAGCGCTGAATTTGTGTTTGCTGTCAACATTTAATCGTTTATCTTCCGGATAAGTATATGTTCCAATATGTTTAATGGTGAGGAGATGTATTGTCTTCAGTCTATAAATCAATATTGTATACTTGGGATCAGCACGTAGAGCACGACCTGCCGAAGCTACTGACGTACATCGGCGACGAGACAGTTCCAGAGTGCACCACGTCGGCGTGTCTATGGTGCGTGAATACATCTTTCACGTGATTTCGTACCTCCCTCCCTCTCCCTCCAGGTAAGATCACGATTGGGGCGTTAAGTGCTAGCTACCCTGCTTTGAATGGATCGATAGATGGTTGTGTTTGTGCAGAGCGCTGTAGTCTGGGCGGACGCCGACACGAACGCGGGCGTCGCCAGTCTCATGAAAACTCTGATTCCGATAGCTTCCGCCGTCTATCGGGGGAAGACAAATTCTGCTCTCCTGCACTGTTCTGTCTCGCTCAGTGAGGACTCCGACCGCCGTCCCCACTTTGGTTTGCTTCTTGTAAACGTGATAATGCCGAATACGGGATTGCAATTCGAGAATCGATGGTGTTAGGTCATGTTCATGACACGGCCGCTGAACTGTGATTACAGGCCTTGGGCATGAGCGACGACGGCACAACATCACGATCTTTCTGAGGTGCAGGACAGGTCAGCAGCGATAAGATGAGTTTGGTGAAGTTTGGAAAGAACGGGAGCCAATATAGATTTCTGGTGTCACAGGGAGTTTCACGAAGATGCCATTCCTTTGAACTGTCTTGCCTCTCGCTTGCGGTTGGTGGTCTATGGAGGGGAGGATTTATACTCGCCTACCGAAGGTGTGCTGTAATTCATGAGCTTGGCGCAGAAAATGTTGAAACACAAATGGTGCACTATACTCACAGAGATAAGTGTGGAGGAAACATATCCTTCGATTAACTGAAGGTGAGGGAACACATAAGTACCCCAGCAGGGAAGGTGGGACCAAAGAACGTTCCTAAAAACTATGGGACCAAAGAACGTCCAAAGAAGGGACGGAGATAAGGCCAAGTGGACGCACGCTGTTCAACAACTCCCTTGAGCACAAGATCCTTGTGGAGAAAAGGCAGGAAATGAGAAACTAAACAAAATTCAACTAATCTATGCTAACTAACATGCAAATGAGATATTGGATTAAGTCACATCAGGGACGATTGCTGCGGGGCTATCATGCCGATCCGGCCTGTGAAGTGATCAAATCTTGGCTTGTAATGTCAGGATGTCTTGGCAAGATTTTAGAGATTAAGCAGGTTCCTTCCGAATTCGAATTTGGTTCTGCCCAATGCCTTGGTGAGTATGTCGGCGGGCTGTTCGTTTGTGGGGACGTAGTTCACAGTGATTTCGCCAGTCTCGACCTTCTGTCTTGAGAAGTGAAGATTAACTTCAAAGTGTTTAGTGCGATCATGAAAGACCGGGTTGCAGGTGAGTTTGATCGCGCTCTGGTTGTTGACATCAATTGGAGTCGCTCCCTTAGGTAGAAGCCGTAGTTCTCGAAGTAGCCTGCGAATCCAAACTGCTTCACTTGTGCAGTTGCTAAGTGCACGGTATTCAGACTCACAGCTAGAATGACTAGTGATGGTTTGCTTTTTGCAGCTCCATGAAATGAGAGTGCTTCCGAGGAAGAAAACGTAGGCACCTGTTGAGGTCTGGCCGTCCTCGTCTTGGGCGTAGTTCGCATCAGAATATCCTGTGTCAGGACTTGTTATAAGGTATTACACCAATAACACTCTTATATGATGAAAAATACCTTGTCCTTGTAATTGGATTCACTGGAAGGGGCTATTGAGTAGAGAAAATACTAAAAAACCACGTTACACTCAGACGTACATGTGATATATTTTATTTCCGTCACCGGAAGAGCAACACTATTCAAGAATTGCAAAAATCTATTTCTACCCTCACTCCTTTCCCGATGGGGTAACACCTTGTTGTCACCAAGGTGTGCTAACTCCTATCTGGAAATAACCACCAAATATTACTCTCAACCTTCTAGACTACGTTTCACAGCTACCCTGCGAGGAAAGTCCACGACTTCTCAGGAGTACACAAGGGAAGCTCGCTGCTAGAAATCTACATGCGTCACACGAATTAATTATCACTAATTTGCGTCTCATAAGTGTAACACTAGGGTTTAGAGAGAAGCTCATTCGAAGATAGAAACATAAACTCTTAAGATGAGAGATACCAACAATAGTTCTCCTCTCCTTTATATAACTCTCACCAACAAGTACAAGGAGATAAGATCTTATCCCCACCATCCATCCCACTCCTAGTGGATGGATCACGTGGTGAATAACCCTAACAAGCACACGGATCGCTTACGTGGCGTTCCCAACTAACACATTAACTAACACACTCAATCCTTACTTACAAGCACACAGAGTGGCGCTCCCAACTAACACACTCAATCCTTACCTACAAGCACATGGATTGTTGACGTGACACTGTCAACTAACACATCCACTCTATACGTACCGAGTGCGCGGATCGCTGACGTGGCAGCTATGACTAGTGCACACTAGAGTATCTATATCAATATTTAGAGTAACCTCTACTTTGGTTCTAACTAACTAAAAATGGTTACAATAAGCCATGAGGAAAAGAAAAATGACACTACCTCTTGGGCTCTAAACTCGTAATCTCCTGATGCCACCCCCCTTGAACTTCCAAACACCACACTATATATGCAAAAAGTTCCAAGCACCTCTAAAGGGTCAAGGCCAAAGCATCCCTGGCCCTTCTCCAAGGGTCAAAAGGTATTACTACAAATAAAACACAAAAAATATCTCATCTCAACTAAAAATAGTCTCGCCTAATCTCACCAAGAAATCTGACTCTTTGCTCTCGATGGGGTAACTTGACACTTATAATGCCCTAGATAGTGGAGAAAAAAACTATCTATTGAAAAACTTAAAAAAACTACTACTATTTTTTACTATCTAAAAAATAGACACCTCACATCTTGCAAGGAAATTTCTTCCCTTGCTGCAAAAAAAATCCCCATGGAAGGGTGCTTGCTTAAGTATGTGAGTATTCCGTTGGCTGCAGCGTGGTGAGTGGTTTGAGGTGCGAACATATACCAGCTGATCATGTTGGTGGCAAAAGCGTACACGTGTCTTGACCGCTTACATGATTTTCCCAATGAGTCGGTGGTAAGCTGTGGCATCCACTCAAGCAGTCCTGGTGTCGTGGCACAGTAGCCAACCTTCATTCAAGGGAATGTGACAGGGTTGACAATCTGAGTGTGCGAATTCTTGAAGAATCTCGTTAACAAACGATGTCCGGTGCAGTAACAGTCCATGTGGTGTGCGGAGAAATTCCACACCAAGGTATTTGCGCACGAGGCCAAGATCAATAATTGAGAATTCTGATTTGAGGTTGTTGATGAGGCGCATTACTGATTCTTGACTGATGTCTGTGAAGAGAATGTCATAAACATACAATATCAAAATAATTATGTGATTACATGTGTGGCAATAGTACAGGTTGTTGTCGACGTCGCTACGCGTGAGCCCACGCTGGTGAAGTGCCGCATCAATTCTTGAGTACCATGTGCGTGAGCTTTGCTTCAGTCTGTATAACAATCGACGAAGGCGGAATACTAGGTGTTCGTGCCCTTTGATGATAAATCCTTGTGGTTGGGCGAGATAGACTTCTTCTTTCAAGACCCCATTGAGAAATGCCGTTTCTACGTCAAGATGATGAAGTGTCCAGCCCGCATGTGCTGCAATGTCGGAAACGATTCGTACGGTTTCTCACTTGACAACACTGGCAAAAGTTTTGTTCTAATCAACGCGATGCCATTGCTCAAAGCCCCGTGCCCCTAAACGTGCTTTGTAACGTGGAAATTATTTTGTACTCGAAGGCTTGAGTTTGAAGATCCAACGTGCACTGATCGTTCTTTTTCTAGGCAGAAGAGACACAAGATCCCCTCTCATTCTTGAAAATTGACTCGTATTCACGCTGCATTGCAACTATCCAGCTGGAATCATGGGCCACATCTTCGTACTGGAGATCGTCACCATCACTTGGGATGACGGCAGGTGGAACATGAGATTCGCAGAGAGCGGTGAAGTTTTCGAGGTGAGGTGGAGGCCGCATGTTCCGAGCTGAGCAACGAAGTGGCAGATTGGCCAGTGGTTGCGGAGCCACGTCGTCATGCGGTAATGTTGGAGGCTGGTCTCATAAGGTTGTGGGGCTATGAATGTCTCACTGA